AAAAAAAAAAAAAAAAAAAAATCAACCCAAAAGGGCAAAAAAGTAATAAAAGAGTTTGGTGAGGGTAGTACGAGTAAATGGCAACGTCTCTTTCTAAATTCCTGACTGTCACTTTTTCTTCTTTTTTTCTGTATCCATCTGGATATGAACACCATAAAATGAAAGAAATCGTTTAATTAATTAAAAATATCAAGCATCTCTCTCTGTATTTGCTCCTCTCCTTTTTAGATTAAGGTATGTTTACGCTTATTGGCTGTTTAATTACCAGTTTTCTACAGTATATCGAGCCATATGCAGCAGTGATCTGCACGGGTTCCTTCTATTTTGTGTAAAAATTGTATTTTTATCCCTTTTTTCATATAAAAAAGGAATCTTTTGTTGTGGGCTAGGTTAGATAGTCATGAATTATTGTTCTTATTAGGATCGTCCGAAGTCCTCGTTGATTTTTCACCTGAAGGTGATATTTTTATTGATTTTCTCTACGGTTCATGGTTTTGTTGTTTGTCACAGATGTGAATATGTTTGCAAGCTCTTAAGTTGTACCAAAAGTTTCACTTTTTAAGGAGTTTATTATGGATAAGAAGGTTTTTAAGGTAGCTAATGTGTTATTTCTATTGGTTTTGTTTATTTATATATAATTTCAGTTGTGGGATTAATATTATTGACATCTATCAATGAGTTGAAGCAAAAAAGATGAAAGTTTGGTCTTTTTGAGGTTTGAAGATAATATGGGCTATTTTCTGATAAATCTGGAGTCGATTTTGTGTCATTTTCAGTTATGGGGTTGTGTTGTTATTGGAGAAAATGTTGATTTTTACCATTTGCTCTGATGACAAATTGGTTTGAAAGGATGAATATTTTTCATGTTTTTTAGGCATTATTTATGTTAATCCACTTGTATAGCTGAGGATGAAACAATTTGGTGAAGTTGTCATTCATAATTTTTTGCTCATTGATATTGTTAAATTGTATTAGGGAGTCAGTGTGATTGCCCTGTTGATAAGTCATCGAGGGTGCGTTAATAAATAGTTGCACATTAGTCATTTTGTTCGGTGAAGCTGCCTTATTCTGGATTATGAAATAGGTGGTGCATCTCCTGTTGGCTGAAGTCAATTGGTAGGCTTGTTTGTGTTATGTTTAAGAGACTAAATTGAGGTTGTCTTTGTGAACTTATATGGGCTATATGGAGTTCTGGCATTCTTTTTTTTTTTAAAAAAAAAAGTGAAGATGAAGCACTCGCCACTCGAGTCCATGCCAGTTCTTGTTCTTTTTGTTGCATAAACTTTACTCTTGCCTACTAATTGGATTGCAAAATTTAGATGGTTACATGCATTGGTGTGCTATGCTTTTACGTAGTAGCGAAATTCCTGAGTTGTTGCTCTGGAAATATGAACAGAATATACCTTTATAATTGCTTTTTGTCGGCGTTTTAAGTTCCTCCCTTGAGCTTCAGCCTGGCCACAAAAACATTAACGGGCTTAATTATCTTTAAAAATTTGTGAACTCTTCCCATAACAGTTGTTTCCGTTTCGCAGGATGCTTACAAGAGAAATTAAAATCCCTGCAGGTTATCTGTATATATCTTAAGAATTATTTCGGTAATTCGAGAAAATGTTGGTAGCTTTTTTTGAGTTTTTCCCATAATTGGAAAAGCCTCTTTTATATTTTTTATATTTTACTATTATCTGGTGTTTTGTTCTTTTTGATTCAGTTGCATGTACAATTTTTGCTTTCCCTTGCCTCAAATATACGTTCTTTCTAATATAAATTATTTACACCTCGTCCCATTTTGGCGCACGCCGCGGCATATATCAGGAAAACAAAAAAACAACTCGATGGAATCTTCTGAAGAGACCGGCTGCCAGGCCCGGGAGGGACCGATCCTCTGCATCAACAACTGCGGCTTTTTCGGGAGTGCGGCCACCATGAACATGTGCTCCAAGTGCCACAAAGATTCGATACTCAAACAGCACCAGACCAAAATTGCCCAAACATCCATAGACACCATCCTGAACGGCGGCTCGACAAACCAAAAGGAGCCCTTCATTGCAGAATCTCCCAATCTTCAAAAGCCCGAATTAAAAACTGAAATGGGTCAACCTTCATCCGGTCTGGCTTTGGGTGAGAATCTTGAGGTGAAGGCAAAGGAGGGACCCAACAGGTGTGCCAGCTGTCGCAAGCGTGTGGGTCTGACCGGGTTTGACTGCAAGTGTGGGTCCCTCTTCTGCTCGGCCCACCGTTATGCAGATAAGCACGAGTGCCCGTTTGACTATCGGGCTGCGGGCCGTGATGCAATAGCAAAGGCGAACCCGATTATTAAAGCCGACAAGCTCGATAAGATTTAGAGAAAGCGTGTGGGGTTTCAAAAGTTAACGAGTCCAATCTGTGATGGTTTGAATGTCTTTTTCTTTTCTTTTTATGTTCTTGGTTTGGATTTGGCTCGGGGTCTGGCAAGTGCACGGAGGCTGGAAGTTGTGATTTGTCGTGTTTTTCGAACTCCGGTGGGTCGTTGGGTATCGGTTTTAGGGTTCAGACTTTGGGTTTTCAGACTCCAGTGTTTGTAAGTTGGTTATTTGCTGGCTCTATTGATATGTTAATCTTCGCGTGTCCCTTTTTTTCTTCATAGTTGGTCCCTTTTTTTTCCAAGTTAAGTTTGTTCTTCGGTTTTCTGATTCGATTAATACTTGGCACTTCCATCTATACACTTGTAAAACTAACTGTTCATTTTCAGAGAAGAAAGTTACCAATAGTCTCCACACAAACACACACCATTCACAATGTGATGAAACCTACTCTTGTCCCTAATCAACAGCTCCCTCCCATAAACTCGAGACACGAACTTGGCAAAGTTGTGGCAATCCACACAAATCCTAAGGTTCTTCATGATCCTTATAGCCTTCCCTTCACATACACTCATCATCCCAAAGGCCAAAGCCAATTTCTCACTATGCCCCAACAACATCCTCTCCTTCTGCTCTTCATCCACATCATACAGAACCGAACCCAAGTCGGGACAGTAGCCGGCCCCCTTTATCCTGTCCGACAATTCTCTCACTTTTGCAAAAATCTCTTCTCTCCTCGAATGCGACCTGTCGCCAGCATAGAACGTATGAATTGTGCGCCCCAATTCAATCCAACTCTTTCCGGGCTCTTTCACAACGGCATTCCTTTTCATCAGCTCCCTCGTTTTTCTAACTTCGTTCCATTTTCCATCCGATGCGTATAAGTTGCAAAGGATCACGTAATTCGACGAGTTTTCGGGCTCCATTTCGAGAAGCTGTTCGCCCGCAATTTTCCCGATGCTTACATTCCTGTGGGCCTTACATGCACCCAACAGGGAGCTCCAAATAGCGGCATTCGGCTCGAAAGGCATCTCCTTTACGAAACGTAGGGCCTTCTCTAACTGGCCGGCCCGCCCGAGCAGATCCACCAGACATCCATAGTGCTCGACGCTAAGTTGGGTCGAGTCGATCTCGTCGAAAATTCTGAGGCCCGTTTCCTCCATCCCTCCTCCATGGCTGCAGCCCGATAGTACGGTCAGAAAAGTGGTCCCGTCGGGTTTGACTTTATTTTCTTGCCTCATTTTGTTATAAAGTTCGACGACGGTTTTACCCATCCCGTGCTTGCCGTAACCCGCCAGCAGGGCATTCCACGAAGCTGCGGTTCTTTCAGGCATTTTCTCAAAAACCCGTCTGGCATAGAAAAGGTTTCCACATTTGGAATACATATCAATCAACGAATTCTGAAGGATGGCATAAAACGGCAGTTCGGACCGGAAGACTTGGCCGTGGACTTGCCTTCCGTACTCAAGGGCAGCAAGCCCCGACAGTGCAGATAGAATGCTTGCATACGTGACATGGTTGGGAGCCATGCCTTCTCTCTGCAACACACGGAAAAGCTCGAGGGCCTCATAGTCGAGGCCCGACTGAGCGTAGCCCGAAATCATGGCAGTGCAAGAAACGACATCCCGGTCGGGCAAACACTCAAAAATGGCCCGGGCTTCACGGGCTTTCCCGTATTTGGCATACAAGTCGAGAAGCGAGCTGCCTACATACACGTGGAATTCGAACGGGCTCTTGGCAATAAGAGCGTGGATTTGCCGTCCGTGCTCGAGCCCGTGGGGGCCCGCAGAGGAGGTGAGCACAGTTGCGAAAGTGAATTCGTTGGGGGACGTACCTGTAACCTTTTTCAAAATTTTATGACACCATCAGATAGAAATGAAGAATAACCTGTTCTGATAATTTTGTTCTTGAGAATTTTCGAAAATGTCACCCTTGTCTTTCACAACCAACACAACTGAAATTGCAACCAAAGGTGACATCTTTGCGAGGAGAAAGTGAAAATGCTTTTAATTTGCATACAAAAAGAGCAAATGTTCAGTGTTTACCTGATCTCAGCATCTGAACAAAGAGCCCCAGAGCTTCAGAATGGGACCCACTTTTGTTGTACCCAGAAATCATGGCGGTCCAAGAAACCACGTTTCTTTCACGCATTTCGTCGAACACCGTTCGAGCATCGCCCAGCAACTGGCACTTCAAATACAGCACGATCATCCTCGTGCTGTGGTGCGCGGAGGGAAGATAATGGGTCTTGATCATGTGGGCCTGCACCCTTTGGCCGCCTCTCAAAGATTTTTGGCTCACGCACTCGTTCAGGACAGCATCGTAGTCTTTGAAGTTCATGTCGAGCCCTCGAGCTGACATTTCTTGCAATGCCTGGTTTAGGTCGTCGAGCGACTGTGTTGTTAGAGGATGAGATGCGAGCAAGGGCGTGTTTGTTTGTTTGGGATGAAGACAAGAAAATCTGAAGATAGTTCTCAGCATAGTTTGCTTTGCTGAATGTGGCCAATGGAGTCTAAATTGTAGAAATTAGTGTAAAATGTACTCTTTAACTGCTGATGAAAGAAAGAATGGAGGTAAAAAGATGAAGATGTCTACGGAATTTATAATTCCTCACTTTTACAAAAAGATGAAGATGTGGGTATCAACTTGCTTAAAACTCATTTGAGCTCGATAAGACTGAAAAAGAGATTTTTTAAACAATTTTCCATAATTGCCTCGTTAAAATTCGAAATTGACTCAGGCTTAAACTCAACTCATTATTATTAATAAACGAGCTCGAGATCAACTTACAAGCCAAGCAAGAGCTAGTAAACAAGTTAGAAATCGAGTTCGAGCTCGACTCTCTCATGAAAACAATAAATAAACTTTTTAGCAAAAGAACTTTCATGCCAATTATAGTCGGAGAATTTTAGCTTTTTTTCTATTTCTTTTTTTTTTTTTTTTATTTGGGAAAGAAGTTAATATAAGGAAGACATGAGGAAGGAAAAGTGAAGCCAATATGCAAGAGCAGATATGATGAACTTCAGCTTGATATATTAGATTAAACATTGAGAAGAAGCCGTCCTCAATGTATTACCAGCTTAACACTAAAAATAGTAGAGTTGAACATTACAATATCTATATATATTGGCTAGCCAAGTTTCATCTTGACAAAATAATTAAGGATTTTCCATCCAGCAGGCAATTAATTGTGCTTGTGTGTGGAAGTCCAAAGCTCAACACTGAGAAATATGAGACGAACTCACTAATTTTCCCACTAATTACTCTAGTAAATATATTCTGATATATACAAAAAACTAGCTAATCGGGAAGCTCTCGGTCTTCTCCTTTACAGCTCCATTTTCAGCTGACTCGAGTGCATCGATGCTGTGCCACAAATTCGATAATGGAAAATTTTAAGACCATAATTAGACAGCTGGTGAAAAAAAATAAGGTGAAATTGAGGGGAAAGTGGTTATTTGTTAATTGGAAGTGAATTTACCGGAGTTTGCTGGGGAGTCGTAGCTTAAAAGCGAGTGATCTTGAGTAATGAAGTTAGAGGTGTCTTCTTCTCTAGCCCATAAAGGCTGTTGAAGCCCGTCAACATGCAACGGCTGGTGATATCTGTTTGTGTTGATTTGTCCCTCGGGCCAAACAGGAGGATCAAACATGCCAGGGTAGCTATTATTCATTGATGATCCATTCTAGAATTGCACGAGAAGGTAATTAAGTAAGCAAAACTTGAAAACTGGTAGTTTGGCACTGACTTAGAAGCTTTTGGCATCATAATCAAGCATATATTAGAAATATGTATCGAGAAATTATTGCGAATAGAGGGAACAAAGTCATGCTGGCTGCTGGAAATAATACGGGTGGCATTTACACAAGACAAGCGAGACTTTCCAGCAATTTTATCTTTTATCTAACCAAATTATAGTGGAAAGAAACTGTAGAAGCTCGAGATACTTACTTCTACAGCAAGGAGAGCATCAAGGTTGAAATCAACTCTTGGGTTGACAGCAGCAAGTCTCATAGACAAGAACTGATGCAAAAAATAAAAAAATTAAAAAATAAATAAAAAAAATAATAAAAAAAATTCCAGTCAGCTAGAGTGTATTCAAGTGCAATAATGGGGTTTGAATTATATGCTCTGATTTTGTGGCTTCGAAGAAAGTTTAATATGCTCTGATACGTATTTAAATGGGGCTTGAATTATATCACTTCAATCCACAACAAGCTCAAGAGGATGCAAAAATTTAACAATTTTGTTCTCGTCATTGGAATCAAATTGTGCCTAAGTGTTGATTACCAAGTGTTTGAAATAAAGAAAAGTGACAAGAAGGATGCTTCGAGTCTGACCTCCACTTGTCGTTGAAGTGCTTGTACATGATTTATGATCTCATCCAGCACCATTGCAGTACCCGAAATCTACGGGAAAAGGAAAACACGATTCTTTTTTACACATTCATTTAGAAATAAACACACATCAATGAAAAGGGAAATCATATTTTGGAGTTAAGCACTAAATTTCAAGAATTGCTTCATAAAAATTGGCTAATAACAGTCCCATGCTGCAATCCCTTTGTTTTGCATTCTAGTCAAGCGAGTATTGGAGCCATAGCACAGACGAGGATTTTAAACGTTCAACATAAAGGGGAAAAGATGAAGAAGCGGATGAAATTCTTGGATTGACGTCCAAAAAAAAACTTCAACAGCCGCATTACAGCTTCTTTAGTACTTCTGAAAGTTTATAATTTAGAAATATACATAATTATAATTCCTGCATCTTAACCCCTAGCCTTGAAAAGACAACTTTTAACGTTCACCTTCAAATATTACGCAAACATTATAAGAATTAACCAGCTCAAGAAGAAAAAAAAAGAAACAGAAAACAAGAAAATTATATTTAAACCCAAATATTCAAGAAGGATCTTACAAACCAGAACCCGACCAATATGATAACATGCTAGCTACAAGTGATAAGATATTGTGGTTTAGTGGGTCACAACAATATCCTCATAAAGGATTGGATAACAGACCGAAGAAAGGCTGAAAGATGAGAATGTGGTGCTAGGATCATGAGATTGACACTTCAACGGCCCACCACTTTTCTTGGTTCAAAAGCCATCAGCTTTTTCTTTCGTTTCCTCAATTAAAAAGTTGACAGCTACCGTTATAAACTAACAAATATCTATTATAACAATGTTTTTTGACAACTAAAAAAGCTTACTCTAATCATCAGTAAAAAGCAGCATAATCAACAAAAAATGATTTTCCAATAATCATCCATTAATTACTAACTTCCTCAAAGAAAATCTGAATAACAACATTAATCCTCCACAATATTTATTAGCACTTAAAAATGACGGGGCTCGACAGCTTACCTTGTTGCATCCTGGGACCAGTTCCTGCAATAGCTTCATCCTGGCATTGATCTTCTCTCTCCTGGCCTGCAAAAATTTCAATTGAAATTTACGACTATTATTCAAGATCAAGAAAATGATTAAAGACAAGCTAAGGAGTTTGGAGGACTACCCTCTCAGCCAAGCTATGGCTGTCAGTGGCTTGCCCACGACGGGCTCTGACATGAACATACGGCAGCTTCTCACCGCTCGCTTCAGAATCTTCATTTGCTACTGCTTTTTTGGTCTTTTTAGTTGGTTCTTTAACCTTGAAGGCACAAACAAAGAACTTCATATCTAAAGAAAATATCAATGTGATACAAAACAAATACCATAAAGTACATTAACTTCAGGAATTCCCGGATTTTAACCGGGATAATGCTTAAGATGATAGCAAATTAAACTTTTAAGAGTAAGCACCAAATAACACACGCTCTTAATTAAGCTCATGCAGTGTTCATATGATTCTGTTTCTGTCAAATAAACAGCAGTGATAGTTTGATAGTTACCTTCTTTTCCCTCTCCTTCCGCTTGCCAGACTTCAAACTCTGATTCGAAACAGCGGGTGAAGAGGAATTCAGGCGCGAGTATGATTCGGGCGGCTCTTGCTTCACCAAATCTAGCTTCATCGAGCTTGAAGCCGACAAAATCATCGTACTCTCCACAGAATCACCAGCCGGAGCGTAGGTGGAGAGCCGGGAGGCTCGGTCAACGAGGGCAATATTGGAAGGAAAAATCGGAGGCGGCATGGGCTTCGCCGGAAAGTCCTCCTTGATCAAGAGCTCCATAGCCTGCGGCGGAGGAAGCTCAAGGAGTGCCCTGAACGAGCTGCCTTCCGTCTCCAGTGGGCCGGATATCATGCTGTGGATATCCTCGATCTGGAGCTCCATTTGCCCGGACATTTCGGATCCAAACTGTTGTGGGCTCACTTCAAATCCTCCTTCCATGAACTGGGAATCTAGACAGCTAAATCAACGTCAATTCGTGATGCCCAAAAAAAAAAATTTAAGGCACCGATGTTCGAACCTCACTTCAGATAACTCGAAAAACGCCCAAAATTACTCAGCAATGCGAATGGGAAATAACCCAGAAGAAAAAATTCGAAACGGAAATAGAATTCAAAACTTCAGAGCATCTTTCTGAATGTCGCAGGAGAAATTACAATTTACAAAAGGGATGCCAAAACCCAGCTCAACCGCCGCCCAGAGCAACCGGAAAATTCGAACAACCCGAACAAAATTCCGGCACTATTTGCCAGTTACCATAGTAGAAATACTTCAAGAACTCGTTGGGTCTGCAGGATACGAAGAAAATAAGGAGAAAAATGAAGAGCTTCTTGCAGCTGCAGCTCTAAAATTCTCCTTTTTTTTCCTTCTTTTTTTTTTTCCTGCTGAAAGCTCCGATTTCAATGGCGGTCAAAGCCTACGCTTCTGATTACTTTCTCTCTCTACAGTGTCTGTGTTTCAGTGTAAATGGAAAATGGGTTCGCCTTTTTTTGTGCTCTTTCTTCTGTCATCAGTTTATATCAGTGGACTCGCTACACCTAACTGTGTGTACTGCTGTGTGTGAAAACTACATTTGCAGTTTGGTCCCTGATCTCTTTGCGTCTTTCTCTATCGACGCCCCTCAATAATTCACTTCTTACAATAATATCCCATTTCATTTAATTGTTGGCCTAAAGTAGGGTAGGTGGTGTTTATAGTTTATGACATGCGGTTTGACTACGAAGTTAACAGTTGGCTCAATAGTGGAGTTAACCTTCTATATATAACAAATAAACTTACCATATTAATAAAATTATATTAGTATTATTTAAATAATCAAAAAATATGGTAAATTTACTTGTTGCATATAGAAGGTTGACTCCACTATATAGCTAACTGTTGCTTTCATAGAAAAACCATAATGATATATACAATTTCTTTTACAGTAAATAATTAGAATTGTTAGACAAAACAAATCGTTTAAAAGCTTAGTTATTTTAATAAATAAGTTAAATGCGAGCTCGTTTAGTTAAATTTAGTTAAAACATGATTTAAATCTAGTTTCGACTCATATTCATAAACTAACCGAGCTCGTTTAGTTAAATTTGGCTCGAGTTTGAGATAAAACTCGATTCCACTCATTTACACTTCAAAGTATAACTGATCAATAAGAAATTGTGTTTTTTTTTTTCTTTTATACCTCAACTAAATAGTCCCACTTGAGTGTAATAAACAAATTATAAGAAAAATTTGGACAAGATTAAGATTATTGTATTCAAGCTGAGTTGGGTGTTTGATTTATAAATTATATTGCTAATTAAGGAAAATACTAAAGTCCTGTTACGGGACGGTACCGTCAATGTTTTCCATAATTGGATAAGAAAAGTAAGTTATGTTGTGTGGATAATCTATTATAACAAATCGTGAAGGAACCATCCTGTCAACGTGACTTTAGCCGTTCCCGTTAATTTATGTATGTATAAATGTATTTTTCCCCAATTAAAATTGCACAACACTCAATAATATCGGGATTTTAAATTTTTCATGATTCAAAATTGTAATTATGAAGGCTCAAATATTATTATTGTCTGAGCATCAATAAAAAAAAAAAAAAAAAAAGTCCGACCACAACAATTTAAAAGATGCCTTGTTTTTGTACAATTTCTAATTGGAGACAATATGTGCAGAATTTTTATTTTTATTTTTATATTAATTGTTTAGACTCAGTTAATGGTATGGGCAAAACTGGGTTCATATGGCTACGGAGGGACATATTATGGTATGAAACATGCCAATTTTAGATATTTTTGCAAGGGACAATGCCCTTGCAGTGGTCTCACTTCAAATAGATGAATTTATTGGATACCATTTTGTATATGTACAGATGAAATTCAAACTTAAATGACATTCTGTGTGTAATGCTCCCTACATAATAGTTACAATTTGATGTAGAAAAGCGTACGTACAAATGAGACGAAATCGCAATTTCAAAAACATCTAAACACGATATCAATTCATATTTTATTCATAATCAACTGAAGAACAAAAATGAAGGAAATCCTTTAAATAAGGTTCATAAACCCTACTCTTAACTCGCTCAACAAGACAAATTCTCTTAGTAAATATTCTTATACTAATAATAAGATAATAAATATTTTCTTACCAATTAATTAAATACAATACATAAAAAGAATAGTAATAAAGGTAAATGTATTTAAATATATATCCTAAATTAATGATGCTAGACGATATCTCGTCTCCATCATTCTCTCCGCGTTGGAGAGGATTTGTCCTCGAATTCGCGCCTCGCAGCGTCATCTCGTGTTGTCCCACACATAAATGCCGATCTCAAAAGGACATGCCTACGTCTATCGACAACATTTGTCAACAGGACTTGTGGGAACAGAGTTGAGTCTCAGTTAAGCTTTTTGACAAAGGAACCCACTACTCCCACTCCTCCTTTCTGCCCAAATAATGTGCCAAATACAACATATCCAGAACAAATGAGCTAAGATTTCTATTAGGATGAGGATCACCTTCGCCAAAGCCCGGGAGATCATATGTGACCAACCAAACACCAAATTCTACCAACGGCTGAATTTCGATACCCGGAACATGATGGAATTCCTCCGGCCTGGAGGCTCCTCATTGAAAATGTGACGGACCGTTGTAGAGATCGTCCATTTCGCAGGTAAGACACTCATCCACCTTCTCGGGTCCTTCATCAAATACCGGCGGACTGTCGTACAATGGCCCGTCAACTTGATTTCCGTTGCATCGTGATGTAAACGTGAAACGGGTCTTCCAATCGATCATATCCACAATCAAATTCGCAATCGCATCCAACACTATATCCGCCGGCAAAGGCAGCCTCCTCTTGTCTGCCTTTATCGTCACATTGATCGTCGTCGTCCACGAAGACCGGGCCCCGTCGCCGCATGCCATGACCTCCGTATGCAACGAAGGGGTCAGCCTCGACGTGCGAAGGTGGATAGTTGCCAAAGGGTTTCACCTTCGAGATTATCTCCTTGCCGTCTTTGTCACATGACGATGGTTGTGGAGATCTCCTGTGGGGCGCCCCGCCTGGACCATGACCTCCACGTCCTCCGCAAACTCCCCTGCGCACGCCCTGATTGTCGGCGTTACGATTCGTTTGCAAATCCTCGACCATGTTGTTGATCATAAGACGCACTTCTTCAATCCTCGACAATAACTCCTCAACCCGGCGAACCAATTGATTGTATCTGGCGGTCGAAGCCCATGGCTTGCCTACCCAGATACTCAATGGTGGCGTCACGCCGGTCGATGTCGTCATTCCCGACAGCATCTTGAATCGTATTGAGCTGAAGCGTACGAGCGAGACAATATTAATGAGATTGCAATCTCAAAAACACCTAAGCACGACATCAATTCATATTATATTCTTAATCAACTGAAGAACACAAATGTTGATCAGTCCTTTAAACAAGGCTCCTAAGTCATACTCTTAATTTGTCCAACAAGACAATATCTCTTAATAAATATTTTAATACCAATAATAAAAATAATTAAAATTATCTTTCCAATTAAATAATAAAACATAAAAGGAAAAAAGATAAATGAATATATATATATCTCATAAGTTAATGATGCTATGCGATATCTCATCTCTATCCCAATCCAAACTTAGATCAAGCTAATTGGTCATTCTAGGCTTAATATAAAGATGAAATTCTATTAATGTTCCCCAAATATTATAACTATATTTGACCAATCTAATCTACAATATAAAATATCAATTATAAAGAGAGGCATGGTTAGTTGGAAACATAATTAATATATATGTAATTGAAATCCTATAGATATTCTCGGTCAAGATGAATGAACTACTCTACTTTTCTAGACTGGCATAATACTACTCACTTGTGTGATGGTACTTAATGTGTGTGTGTTTTTTTATGTATGTAACTAAACTGTTAATATTTATATTAAACAAAATCAAATAATAAGTAATAATATCTTAATTAAAACTGGTGTGTACCGTGCGCAATGCACATACTAATTTGATTAAGATAAACATTCAAATTTAGCTGATTGGAAGAACGTAAGCATCAGAATAAAACAAAATGTAACTTATATATTATAAACACATATTTGTACACGACATTATTTATTTGGTTTTGGTACACCGTCTATCGCCACAAATTATATTAGGATTTTAAATAGGTGTAAATTAATCAATTGAATTATTTCGCATGAGATATGATTTATACTGGTTTTATGAAGATTGCATAGCCAAATGTAAAGGAGATCGTAAAACGTCTTTATTGATAATCTATTTTAAATATATAAATTACTTAATTTTAGAAAGAAAAAATCGTGTACATGTATGCAATCAATTTCAAATTTGTAAGAGGATTAAACAAAACCAAAATTTTTAGGATGTTCCAATCTGATTTAATTTTGAATTTCAAATTAGTATTATCTGACTCTGTTTTAGATTTAAAAATAAATCAGTATTCAAGAAAGTAGTAGCCAAATGATAAGAGATTTTTAAATTTTAATATTCAATTTGAAAATGGGCCCGATTTCTATGCAATTTGATTTTTTTTAATAAACATTATATGTTGCAATTATGTAAAGATAGATGTTATAGTATTTTTTACCTAAGTCCATATTCTCAATTTTATGGTAAACATATTTTTTTATATAAAAATGAGAGAATTTTGACTTTTACAAAATTGTCAGGCCGAATTTTATCTAAATTAACTTGATTTCTATGCAGTTCAATTTTTTTAATAAACAAATTATATGTTGTAATTAGGAAAAGATAAATGTGATAATATTTTGTCTAACTTGGAATTCTCGATTTTGTGGTAATCAATTTTTTAATAAAAAAGTGAGAAAGAATTTTGCCTTTTGCAAAATTGTAAACAACAGTTGAAACTTACCTAAATTAAATCCACAAAACCCATGAATTTAAG